ACTTTCCACCATTGCCAATAGACCAGCCAACCCGGTCTTCCCCTTCCCCTAGGCGCACTGTGTCGATGGCATGGATCAGACCCATCCAACTTTCTGTTTCCCAGTCAAAGAGGCCTCTTCTGAAGCCAAGATCCCAATCGTTCTCAGAATTATTCCAGCAATCGGCAATAGAAGCCCCCTTTTTTGTGGAGATATTAAACAAGTTGGGAAAGGAGCTTTGGAGGGTGTTTTGTCCTATCCACTTGTCTATCCAGAACTTGATACGATTCCCTTTTCTCACTTTGAACTCCAAGAACTTAGAGAAAAAACTACAATTCTTCATTATATCGAACCACGGTCTCCCTTTCGCTCTACCTTTGGGAGTAAGAGTGGCCCAACCATGAGCTTCCTCCCCATAGATGCTCACTATAACCTTTCTCCATAAAGCTTCAGGCTCTTGAGTGAACCTCCATAACCATTTTAAAAGCAAACTGTTGTTCTTTTGTTGAAGAGCTCCAATTCCAAGACCACCATAAAGCATGGGGAGTCCCGTCTTACCCCAATTTACTAGAACAACCATCACTTTCTACACTGCCGCTTTCCTTATAATGATTGGAATTTTATCCTTGGTCGGTTTGATCCCCCCTGGTGCCTTCCCAACTACATAGAAGAGGGCATTCTTGAATTACTATCAGGTTGGTGGTTCAGAGAGAAGAAAAGTTATTTGGTCTGCTGCATTTCTCTTTGGCTTCTTTGGAAAGAAAGAAACTCTAGATCCTTTTCAGATAAGTATAATTGTTTCATCCATTTTGGTGACCAAATTCAGTATATGGCATCAAATCGGGGATCCCTGCGTAATTCATTTTTTAATACTTATTTTTCTGATCAACTTAGATTGGAGGCCTTTTGATTGATTCCTCATCCCCAAGGCTGTTAGGAAGTTCCCTTTTTAATTGTTATGTGACATCTTTTCTCAATTCACAAAGTACCATTTTTGAAATGCCCACCAAGAAAAGTTGGCTTCATCCTCTCATCAGGACTTTCCTAGTGGCCAGACAATTCCCAAAAAGTAACATTACCTCTAAACCTATAAATCGAGTAAAATGAAATGTTCTCACCCAAATCTAACTGGTCGAGGACTTCGCATCCCCCTCATTTTGCAATCCCATTTATTAATGAACTGTTTTTGTTGCCTATAATAAAAATTAAAAATGAAAAAAAATCACAAACAGATAGCTGCAATTCATTCCCAACTCGATCTTTATTGCCTATTTTCCATTCCTTTATTAGAGGAAAATCATCCCCCTATAGTAAATTAAAACCAGTGAGCAGAAAGTGATAAATATCTAAGAAGCTATAGACATCAAAGATATGATGATACAGCCAAGGAGCTGTAACAAACATGTAAAGAGTGCCTGAGAAAAAGGATTAGGTTACAAAAGCAATGACTAACCTGATTCTAAATCAACCACAGCATTAGCACCAGTACTATATATCTTCTTTGGAACAGCCCAGTCCACAGCTATCGTCCTTTTACCAAACATTTGACCATTGAACTTTTTAATAGCCTAAGAAAAGGGAAGCGGGTACAAATGACTTGAAGGTACCTAGATGTTTCTTTAATGAAGCAAATCAAAAAATAGAAAACATACATTTTCAGCATCCTGCTTGCATGTAAATTTGACAAACGCAAAACCCTTTGATAAACTGCAAAATAAGACAGGTGGCTGTTACTAGGCAGGCAAAAAGGGGCATATTGAAGTAAAGGCATTACCCTGTGTCAGAACTATGTGGCATCATCACATCCCATACAAATCCTGCAGACGAAAAGGTACTGTTTATTTCTTTCTCTTTGGCCTGCACCAATGTGTAATAAGCTTGCTCAGTCAACGTGTCCCCATAAGAAAATATGACAATTACTTATTGCTTAAAGTGAAACCTTAAATGGAAGATTTCTAACGATAAGTTTCCATTTCTGAGTTTTGGACCCCTGCAAAGAAAATGAATGCAGGAAGTTTTAGACTTACCCAACATAAATAAATAGATAAGCAACTAGTGATATCAGACTATCAGTAATTTGAACATAAGATTTTTTTATTGAAAATCGAGCTTTCTGAAAGAATATGAAGGGCATAAAGAAACAGACCTAACAGGACTCAACAAGATAAGGTTGTAAAACTTTTTGGAGTACTTATTTTTTATAAGAATTTTTTAGTACTTAAGATTCCAGGTAGCACAACACAGTAAGAGAGGAGACGTAGGCCCAGCTTTAATCAAGTCCGAGAATAAAAATTAAGGGGAGAACGAGAACCGACACAATTTTTCACAAATTCATGCTCTTGAGTCTCTCTTTAATCATCAATACCAACTGCCCAACAAGAAAACACATGCCTATCTCTGCATCATCAAGGTTTCTTCAGGGTATGGGTTCAAACACCAAAACTGGATCCTTCCCAGCAATCTAGAACTGATTGATTCTTTCTATTACATAAAGCAGCAATTCTAATGAAAGAGGTAGAGAGAGATTCCTGGGTCCACCGAGAATCCATCCAAGTGAAATTATGGAAGAGAGTGATTATAAGCAAGCATGGGGATCACTGATGAGGTGATCCGTGTCCTTAGAGCAGCGGATAAAACCCTTAGGTCCACACAGCTAAGTGCAAGAATTTAACTGAAGATACTTATGGCTTTTATTATGGGAGAGAGTACCTCAATCAGATTTCCAGAGAGCGTTTAGTGGAGAACCGGCCATCCTTATGGGCTGCCCCCGTTCCAAGGCTCTAAGCTTTAACTGGTACTGAAAGTAAGGATAAAAAAAATTTCTAACTGCTTAAATACTAGAAGGAATTGTCAGTCTATTGGTTTCAGAAGAAATTTCAAATGATATGGAATCTGATGAAAGGGTGGAGGTGATCTTTTAGACCTTTGGACCGAGTTCTATAAGGGTCATCAAAAAATGGAACTTTGATTCTTCCAGTGTTTTCAGATGTTAAGTCTGTTCTCCACAATCTTATAGCTAACCAGGGGGTTGCTCCTTCCATTCTTTAAAAGCTTATTTGGAAACTTTAAAGCCCGAAGAGTCAAAATCTTCATGTGATCTTTTATTTTGAGAGGACTGATGTAGGATCAAATTCAAACGAGACATCCTCAAATTTATCTATCACCAAGGTGGTGATCCCTATTTTTTATTTATGATGAAAAACCTTGTTTTCTCCATATGTAGAGCTAATGATGAATAAATGCTTGGAATTGACTCAACAGCTGCTTTTTTTTCCTAAAAATTTTATACTCCATTGTCCATCTTCAATTTAACAGCTGGTCCTAGACTCCTACCTAACAAACAATTATAGATTTTCCAAATGCTTATCAGTCACCCTATTCAAGGACAAAGCTAAAGTGTTATGGATAGATATTATTTTAGTTATTTCTAGGGGGTCATAATATTTCAAGGAGAATAAATGGGACTTGAGGATCTTAGAGACCTTTGTGATGTTGCAAGATCTGCATAGATGTTTTACAAAATACGGACACGAGGGAAAGCAGATAGAGATAAAGAGAAGACAAGAAAATACACAATCAAATGGCTTGACCATGACCTTGTATTATTTTAAGGACATATAGCATTAATGTAACTCATTTAAGATGTGGTTAAACTAACTAATAAAGATACAAAGAATTTGTTCATTCATAACAGCGTGATGTCAACATATTCACAGTAAGGAAAATTTTATGTATATTCACCTCCCCACCCAGTTGGCGGGCCCATACAACACCCCCTTTCATCTCTTTCTGGTGTAATATGGCAACAGCAGAACGTGCAGATTTCACACTATCAAAAAGTACAGCTGAAACGTCCATTTTGCATCCATCCCGTAGTAGACCTGAAATTTTTAATTTCGAACTAAATAGATGAAATATCCTAATGAACAAACATGATTACTTGGCAAGACCTTGTGAGGAATCATTTTTCTCATAACTTCGTAAACTATCAAGATAATAAATCTGCTACCACAGTTAACGTTGCAAGCTAGGTTGACATTCAAGATAAACTGGTATAATAAGAAAGAAAATTTGTCTTCTGTAACTAGAGTCTCAAAGAAAATGATCCAAACGATCGTTGAGAAAAAATGCATTCTCAAACAGTTTCAGACTAGAAATAAATTTGTAAAACATCGTAGTCCAGAGTCAATCTATCACGTACAACTGAAGAAGTTGGCAAACACTGCTTAGCATAAGATCCATTCAACATTAAAGGAAATATGGAGGTTCATGATACAAAATGTTGGTAGCCAGACATTAACATGAAACTGATATCATGAATGATAAAATAACTTCATATCCAATAGGCTATTTTATCATCAGAAATGAATGTAACCTATCCTAAGCTCTAATGATGATGCCTTAATATTGTTTTCATTTTTTATGTACATACAGAAGACAAATAGTAATTAATTCAGCTGCCCATATACGATAAAAACAAAACACATGATTCTCATGTACCGTGTTGTTCAACTTCTTTTCTGGGAAGAGGATAAACAATAGAGCATACGGCACCAACATCTCTAGCCTGGCGATGAACATCTTCTGCCATGTCAGCATTATGAAGACCACCAAATACAACAGTCCTTGCAATCCTTAACAACCAAAAAGGAAGATGAAAAGTAAGTAAAGGTAACATGCACAAGCATGCACCCAAAAGAAAAAGAAAGAAGAAGGAAAGGTAAAAGGATGCCTATTCTTTAAAGAACAAAACAAGATGTCAATAAAACCACCTATTATTCAAGCTATATTTGTACGCTTTAAGATATACGTAACTGATTGGATGAATGATATTTAGAAATGGAGACCCAAAAAAACAAAAAACTCAAGAATTTTTTTTGTTTATAAAAAAAAACTTTTCATAAATATAAATGAGTACAAACAGAACCATAAAAATAGACTGAAACAAAGGCCTCTAGAAACGAAAATTATGAGAAACCAAAGAAGAATCACCAACCATTACAAAACAAAGTTAACAAAAAACCACGGATTGCAAACTAATGATTCACCAAAACAGAATACGGGACTCATTAGACCTTTTTTACAGAGAACTCAAAAAAGTTATTACACTGTAAATTGTAATACAATGGAAACTGCTTTCCAAGTTCTTCGGCTAATGCCATTAAATCTCCTTTTTTTAATAGTTGGCTTGAAAGAAATACGAGAATTTTAAGGAGGAGAAAATGGAGTGGGGGGTTATTTGGGATTCCATTACTTTTTAGGCATCTCTTTGTTAAATCACAAGCTGATTGGTTACAGGAAATTGAATCTTTGAAAATTTGCACAAGGCCCATCAAGTGACTATCATTTATCAATATTACTAGGGGAGAAAATGACGATACAGCAGTTCAAACCTCCTGCTCTAAAAAAAAGTTAAATTACATTGAACCCAAAAGCTTAAGCTGATGTCAATTTATTCTTTTACTAATATTTTAGCACTCTTTGGAGTTCTCGTCTCAAAGAATTTTGTAACAACCCTCCTATTATAACTTCCAAGAGAAATGGCTTCTATAATCCACTGCAAGTCCTTTGGAATTTTCATCATACTAAACAAAATACTGGTTTCTCATATATGTATATATATTAAGGAGGAAGAGAGAGAATTTAAAGGCATCTTCTACCAAATGTTTCTCAATCTCAATTATTTCTTCTCTAAAGAGCGGCAGAGCCTATTCTAGTCCATAAGTCCAAGAAAAAATAGGAACAAATGAAGAACGTGTGAAGAAGACATTTTTTACCTTTGTTTTCCCGATGAACCCTCTTTATCCACTAGATAACTAGAAAGTGGAGCAAGTTTCCCAGCATCCAAATGCTTCTCTGATACATAATTAGAAAACATTAAAACCCAGATTGTCAGATACGTTGGAGAAAAATAATAGATATTAGCAGTAACCTTTCCCCTCAGAATTTGAAGTTGTTTGTTCTTCCCTTTTAGGAATATCTACATCCTCATTAGTGTTTGATTTAGGGATAGTTCCTGTGTAAAAGCAAAAAAAGTTGAAAGAACTGTTATTAATTATTTATAAGGATCCCCCCGTTCTACCAGACCAGAAAAACCACGAAAGGAGAGAGAGAAAAAAAAAATCTGGCGGTCGTGCAACATGTGCTCTATAACAAAATTCCAAGATCGCATGCACCACATCAACCTTGATTTTCTTTTGACCTCCGCTGTTCCTGGGGAGCTCGATGCATAGCATGTTTAACAGTAATTTTTCGTCCTTCAACAGACAGCCCATTCTTCAGCTCAATAGAGCGATTTGCATCTTCTGCAACGGCACTGCAATCATAATCAAAGAATGAAGTGAAGTTAAAAAATAAAAGCCTTCATAGGATGTACAATGTGGGTAATAAATATATAACAAGAAACTTTAAAATGGATAAGAAATTAGTGTTCGCTGTGGCAAACATCAAGCAATGCTGATTATCACAGGACAGCTCATATACAACAAATAACACATGTTTGGAAAGATTTGGACCTTTATAGGTTCGATACAAATCTGACACAATCAATTTTTATTTTAATGCACTTCATACTCATGGACAAACAAAGTTAGCAAACCACTACTACAATAAAAATGGATAGTACCATCAATTGCATGTAAAATGAAACAACAAAAAAATCAAAAAAAAAAATCAATATCCAAATAAAGAAAAAGATATATAAGTATGCATGCAGTAAATCTATATAAAAAGGAAACAAAAGCATCATCCATATTGACGGCAGCTCAAGCTCCTAAGAAAAAGGTAACATTTTTAGTATTACAACTAGTGTTAGTACTTCATTCATTAAATATCACACTAAAGCTAAGCCACTGTGGAACAAAATTGTACTCAGCTAGAAATCATTGGATTAAATAAAATCAAAACATCTGAACAAGGAATGTAGAAAGAAACTAAAAGGATAATAATGACAGCAATAGAGGATGACAATCCCACTTACAATTGCACAAATCCAAAACCGCGGTGCTCAGTTGAACCTGATGAAACAAGATAAGATAGGTTTAAAAGAACTAACAATGAACATATCTCAACATGTCGTCTGAACTGAAGAGGTCGAAACAATAAAGCACAACAGTCAGTTTCTATTCAATCGCCAAAAAACGGAAATGCAGAATGAGGCTCACGAAAGAGGATCTTTCAATGAAAAAGGATAAAAGTACACTATGTGCAATTAAACCCCAATTTAAGATAGCCATGCACAGATGTATTTACCCTTCTGAGTAACCATGAAGCACCGCCGGACCGGTCCAACATCACTGAATGTTTCTTCGAGCTAGTTCATTGAGAAAATAAAGGAAAAGGTCACTAACATTCCAATTAACAGCAAAACAATTCGAGAGAAATCGAAATCAAATCAAAACATTGCTTTCTCGTAAACTTCTTGTGAAACCAATAACTTCTCATCAAAAAACACTCGATTGCGTGCTTCCTTAAGTTTGAGATTAAGAACAAAACAGCAAAAATAAAAATAAAAATCTATATTCGTATTTTCATCTCCGTTTTTTCCTCAGGAAACGAGCAAGCAACATAGGAAGTGCGAACCTGCGAATTGGTGAAGGAGTACGGCAAGTTCTTGACAAAAACCTTGGAAGGGCAGTGGTCGCCGGCGGCTCCCTTCCCGCCGCCGTCTCTAATTCTCTTGTTCTTCCCCATTGCTGCTAGAAAGCGTTCTGCAGACTGCGAAAACTGCTGAATTCTCGACTAGTTCCAGCCGAAGCGGGGGATTTTGGAATTTGGAGAAGTCCATTTAGGCCGGCTGTTATGGGCCTTAAGGACTTGGGCTGGGCTGCATATTAAACCCGATAGTCTTTTGGGCTAGGGCAAATATAGAGCCCAGTTAGGTCCAATATTACAATACAAGTTCATAATCGCCGGATAGCTGATTTTTATTAGGTTAAATTACCGATGCTTCTCAATTTTAATTTGGTCACTATATTTTTAAAATTTTTAATTTAGTTTTTATCATTTAGTTAAATCTCATTAAACATCTTTTTTGTTATCAAATATTAACAATTTTCTTATGTTTTACATTTTCTTTAAGATGTGACAAAGAGATACGATGAATCAATATTTTAAAAAAAAAATGTCACGTGAAACCTGGTAACAAAAAAGTGTTGAGTTGCATTCTTGTTTTGCATGGAAATTTAGTAATTACATGCTTTCCTTTTTTGATTTGATGGTAGAAATCTTGTGTTTTCTTGTTTAAATTGTTGAATTATATTTTAATTTTTGTTAGGTTTACTTTCTTTTAAAAAAGAAAACTATTACGAAAGATAAATCAACTTGTATTTCCTTTCATTTATGAAAAATGATATGAGTTAACCAACCAATAACAAACAAAACAAGTTGTAAAATCTTGACCTCTAACCACGATACAAATATCACAAAAAATACTCAAACGAAATATTATATAGGTGGTCGTGATGAAAGTTAAATGAATAGTCATACAATAAAATTAAGGAAGAAACGAATATAGAGAATCATTTTGAAGTATATATTAAAAGGGCAGCAATTACAATCTTCTAGAATGACGAAATAAAATAATGTGTTCCCATTTTTTTTGGTGGACAAAGAAAAGTGACGAAAAGAAAGAAGATTTACAAAATGATATATATATATATATATATATATATATATATATATATCAAAAAGAGATTGCTTGTGAAAAGGAGTGAAGAAGAATTCACATCGCAAAGAAGGGAATTGAACAATGAGAACTACTTGAAACTCGTCGTGAATGAAAATGAGGGATTTCTTTGCATTCAGAATGCTTCTTCCTTTTCTTGGCATCTGGATGCTTTGGTTTCTTCAGATCTTCCACACATCTAACATCTGCTATGCAAGCAAATGACCTCGCTTTTCCCGAGTAGTACCTCGACAAACCCCTCCTGCTCAAACGTATTCGTTATTTCTCGTGTTTGTTTAAAAAAAATGCATTTGAAAATCACAAAGTTCCATCTCAAAACTGATGAAATGAGTAGTCTACTTATATTATAACCGCTCTTTAAACTCATCGATCTTGGTCAGATTCTGTTTTTTTACCAGATGCTCGTATAAATTTTTGAACTATGATACCATATTAATATTTATGAGTTTCATCTCAAAACCAATTGACAATGATAGAAGTAACTCACTTGTATTATAAACCCTCGTTAGATCGCTTATTTTTTCATAACGTGGGATCGCGTTAACACGAAAAACGTATCAAACTTAGTAAAAATACACGGTCGGCAAAATCCGAGCCTAGCTATCAAGTCCCTATAAATTCGAAATCACCCAATATCACCAACCAAAAAGGAAAAACAGAAGTAGACCAAAAAAATTGCTTACTTTTGAGGAAGATTAGTCCTAAGAGAACCCATGTCAAAAGCCCTCATGCTATTGCCTTCACTCTCCATTTTCTTGTTCCTTTTATTTTGAGATTGAGAGAGAGAAGAATTAGTTGTGGTGGTGAAGTATTGGAGGAGAAATATATAGAAGAATTCCACTTGCCTTTTTTTTCCCCAAAACCCATTGTTCTAATTTATCAATGGAACAGAACCAATCTCTCTCATACATCCATTTGTTCCATCAATTTTCTTATACACTTAAAAATAACACCTTCCATTTGTAAAGCTACTAATAATATTTAATATTGTTATATTTTGCATATAAAAGTGTTTTCTTTTTAGTAAAAAGTGTCTTCTTTTTAACTTATGTTATCAATTTCATTGTTGGTATATTTCATAGCATCACAATCGTAAGGGCCAGAACTCATACGTTTAATCCTATAATGAAGATTATTAATATCTTCAGGAAAAGATTAGAAATCATGCAACTAAATTTTTGGATAAAATATATTGAGTTTGAGGATAAGTTCCTATTTGGCGACAGGTTAGTCTCTGACTTTTAAAAAATAGTTCTAAAATGTGGTTTGAATCAAATTTCTGTTGTGGCATTGATGAGTTAGCAGTTTTTAGATGATTGGACAATATTTATTATTTTTTAGCTTCCATGTCATTTCTTTCTCATTCCATCTTTTCTTTCTTGCTCTTTCTCGACTGAAGGTCCAAGATGTAGTCTAATCATCTAAATGATATGTAAGCTAAAAATAATAAATATTATCCAATTATTTAAAATTGTCCCCTCATCACTGTCATATATCAGCATTCGATTAGTGATAATAATGGAAGTTTGACTCCAAACACTTTTAGAACTATTTTCTAAACGTCTGAAAAAGATCAAAAGTGTATTTTATAACATTTTTTTTAATTCAACCAGTAAAGATTTAATTTGAACGTCCAAGAGAACTATGCTTAAGTTTGACCAGGCAGGTAAATACTAATATAAATTAACACAATTTTTTTTTTTTAACTGAAAGTTCTAAAAATGTCAAAATACAGCAAAAAAAAGGGAAAAAAAATCCCAAAATCATGGGAATTGAAATTCCACTATTTTTCATCCCACATGATCTCAGTTGGAATGAAAAATACAGTCCATATTATATGATGGATATAGACATGGCTGTGTATGAGTTGTTTAGTGAGTATGGTGGCCACTGCCGTCGTTGATCTTCTCCACGGCGCCTCTCTTGAGGTGCTCGGTGGGCCGGTCCATGGAGGTCGGAGCGGCGGTTTCGGTGGCCGTGGTGGTCTGAGGGTGAGGAGTGTGAGGCTGCTCCTCTTTATGCCTCCTGCCAGTTAGTTTCTCTTTTATTTTCTGGGTGAATCCTTTCTTCTTCTCACTCTTCTTCTTCCTTTTTTTCTCGTCGCCCTCATCAAACTGAGAGAAATAACACTCATCTTTCTTTTTCTCCTTCTTCCTCATTTTGCTTTGCTCCTCCTCCTCATCAAACTGAGAGAAATAACGCACATCTTATTTATCAATGCTCAAGCTGAAGTTGGTCGAATAAGAGAGAATTTTTTTTATATTATTTAATCCTTAATTTCACCATGGGAATCACGAGACAAAATTTAGGCTTGCAATCTAATTTTAGTAAACTTACATTAAAAAAAAGAACTATTTTAATGAATATAGTTGATTATTCGTGATTTGAAAGAATCTAAACCTATAATAGCACAATCTATTATAATTTACCAACAAGACCAATGGGAGGGCTGTGTGACGTCAGTCAAATTTATTGTAGATTTGAATCAAAATTTGATTTTATATTATAGGCCTATCAATTGTACTGATGATTCTTAAAACGAGCCTAACCCAATAGTAATTGACATATATAGTTTGAGACTGTGAATTCAATTCCCCACCCCATATGTTGTACTCATAAAAAAAAATGTATTGAAGAACAAAAATTTTTTTTGTCAAAATTAAAAAATGTCATAGTACAGTCTATAGAACGAATCCTGTTTAAGAAAGATAGTAATAAGTCTGTTCAAGTAAGAAAAGTTAGGTATGAAGCACTTCAAAAGTAAAATAGTTGGTTATTAAGCACTTCAAACTAAAATTGAAGTACAAATAGAAAATAGGTTGTTATTAAGGACAATGTTTATAATTCAAACCCAAAACAAGGAATCATCCCAAGAAGTGCAATTTATTTGTACCACTTTGAAAAGCTATTAGTTCATGGAAAAAAAAATAGATTTTGTAAGAACTTTCATATGGGTAAAAATATAACCTCTAGTATGTGACAATTTAATCCATGTAATTTAAAATTAGTAACAAACAAGTTATCCACCATAAAAAATTTCATCAAGATCAAGTAGTCGATCAATTTTTATTATGTAACAATTTAACTATGGTATTTGACTTTAACAACAATTTTCTCTATATAGATTAAATAATAACAAATTTTAAAGTACACAAACTAAATTATTACACACTAAAATTAAAATTCGAACTAAATCTTACATATAAAAATGAGAGAGAAGTGAACGTTAAGAGGCAAAAATGATGTCAAATGATAGATTATAACCCAAAAAGTTTGGACTCACCGAACTAGAGCCAGAAGTGGTAGAGCGAACACGGCCACCATCATCATGCCCCTCATGTGGCAGCAGCTCCTGCTCGCCATCGCCATGACCACCGCTAGGACCATCGTCACGGCCACTGCACAACAGCGACCCGAGCGTGGGGCCAATCTTGGTGGCGACCCCGGTGAGCCGCATGGGGTTGCCATGTTCATCGGTCAACACAACCGGGTTGCCAAGCTCATCGGTGAGTTCAATGGGGTTGCCATGCTCATCCCGAATATCAGCCATTTTTTCCTCCATTTACACACACCCAGAAATCAAACAAAAACCTTAAAGCAGAGAGGCTACGTACATCTCTTAAAACCCAACACGTCATCTTTTTTGGGTTGCCACGTTAAGAGATTTATGGGATAGGTGTCAGCTTCTGAGATGAAACCAATCCAAAATCCAGAGAGTTTTAAGAGCCATATCTATCTATCTTGTGTCCTGTTGTGAGGTCACTCTTGCCAAATTCTAGGAGTATCATCAGCACAGCCAAAAAACAAACTGGGGAAAACAACCTTAATTCTGAAACTGAAATTTAATACAAGTTTTCCATACATGCCAAGGACAAGCAGTTTCTAGAAACACAGCTTAATCAGAATGGAGTAGCCACATGAGGGTTACTCATAAAAAACACAAGAAAATTTTAGGTATTGAACTAATTCCCTAGTCAATACTGTAAATACCAATTTTTACAGTCCAGTGAGAATCAACCAAAGTCTATCATTGAGAAAAGATTGGAGTCCATTGATCGTACCTGATATATCCTTGCTGGTTGCAGCACAGGCCACCGTGGAAGATAGCCACCACCCATGGTCAGAGAATATGATGTCTTGGTTTTGTAAAAATCACGAGCAGTTTTATAAGAATTTGAGAACATAAGTTTGATCAATGCATACATTTGTCCACGTGAAAACGAATTGATTTGTACAAGATAGGAATGAGATCGCCAATCTGATGAGTCATGATGCAAGTTCAATCTTTTAAACCTGTTTATCTGAACTGTTACTCCTTTTACCCTGTGTTCCTATATACAAATGTTGACTCCATAAGGCTTAAACTAAGCCTATATAAAATTCATAAAAAATTATCCAACTATCCAGACCCAGGGGTGTTGTGATCTTCCCTTTAGTCAACGATATCTAGCATTCTTCATCACTTTGTGAACCAGCTGCTCAGCAGATGTGAATTTCAGAACCTGAATTTATGAACAATTGTTATTGTTAGTCGAACAAGATTCCAACAGTGTTCCACTTTAAAAAATAACTTTTAAGAAATGGAAAAAATGAATGGTGGCTAATTGGGCGTATGTGAAGGAACATGTACATGAGATTGGAAAGCTTACCTCCCATGTCACATCTTAGTAGATCTTGACCATAACAATCCCTTTCTCTTCGCTGTGTTGTTACTTTCTGGCAAGGCTTTAGTTCCGCCCTTTGAGCCAAAGGAGAAGTGTCGCCTCAAGAAACCCCTCCCTGAGGAACCTCTCAAACTGGAGCTAGAGGACAACTTAGGACACTTCCCTTGTCCGCTATTTATAAAATGATCAAACATGGTAGATTCGCCATCAAGACCACTATCCGCAATGCGATTCCTTAATCTCTTATTTCTAATTTTCAGTTCTATCTCACCTCTAAGTGCCTTTTCAGACATTCTTAGGGTCTGCTTCTCACCAAAAGAACAAATGGGGCATGCTGGATCATACTTGCTAATTTCAGGAGTCATATTCTCCAAACAATCAGCATGATAAACATGTCCACAAGTTAGTACAGCAACGACAGACAACTCACTGTTAGCAATTATTTTTTGACTGGTCCATAAAGATCTCTCAACCAACAGCATAGAGCAAATTCCACACGTTTGCACGTCCACAGAAGGAGAATTCGAGAATAGGCTGCAGGATCTAACCATCTTCTCACGAGCAAAGTCAAGGGATTCACTACCAAAAGACCACCTTCCCCTATGTGAAGTTGCCATGAGCTCAGAGAAAGCATTCATAGACCAACCATCAGAAGACCCACCATGTGAGCCCCGTAACGAATCGTTGCTCCCAGGGATTGCAGGCCTGTCCTCTGAAACATTGTAGTTATTTGGTGACTTATAAGCTGGGATACGGTTGCTAGATACTTGACGTAATAATCGGTGTCCGGGAGAACAGTGAGACAATCTCGATGAGGCCAAACTGGTGGGGGGGAGGTGACTGTGGGTTGATAGAGGGGATGTTGACAAAGATGAAGTTGAAGGGATTGAAAGGGATACTTTTGCAGGAGACGTAGATGTTGTAGGGTATTCTGTAGCTTTCTTAACCTAATTCAGTAATAGAAACAATTTCATATTTTAGATACGATAATCTACCAAATGAGAAAATAATGGAGGATGTAACACCATACATATAAACAGGGAAAACTGTACCTGTTCCAAACTAGCATCCATGGAAATATTTCTTGAAATTGAATGACCTGTCACAATAACAGAGAAAATACATAAGATGCGATGTAATGTTTATATTCTCATTGAACCAATACAACATCATTTCAAAGTTTGATGATAGAAGAAAAATTAGAGGGATGTATGCCTCAGGATACCTGATGTAGGTGTCCTCGAATTCCTTGTGCTTCCTTCAGATACAGAGGAGTTTTTCCATGTCTGTCTACGCAAATTCTCCAATGGACTGCTCTCTTCTGATGCATATGAGGATTCATATTTGAACTCTGGCCTATCATTTCTGCTTACTCCATCTGAAAACGAATTCAGGGAAACTTCCTCGCCAACCACACGCCCACGGTTATCCCATCGAAAGCTCCAACTCGGCGAGTAACGAACATTCCTATGCTGCGTTTCACTACCCGATCCAACACCAACATTCTTGTCTCTAGCAGCAACACAACAGACAGACCCCATATTTCAAAAGCCTGATATGAGATTTGGTACTGTTTTCCACATATCCCTTCCTCTATCCAATCCTTTAACCTGAGAAAAGCCCAAACATCACTCTTCCAAACAAAGCCCCTTCTAAGAAACAGAACAAACCATGCGAAAGCACACCTAATCACTCAGGAAAAAAATTCATGCTAAAATTTCTCCTTTCCATAACTGTATTTATCAAGCACCGAATTTGACAAGGCACACACACACAAACACGAAAGGAAAAAAAAATCCCTAAATTCCTAGCACGCACACCGCCGGTACCAACCCTAACAGAACCGACAAAAACAAGATACCCCACGCACTACGCAGAAATCAAACACAATCACACAACACAGAAAGAAGCACCAGTCCAAACAGTTCGAGTTCAAGGACAGAGAGAGCAGTAAGGCAGCGAAAACCCCAAGAGGGAGGAGGCGCCCAAATCAACAAACCTCGAAAAAAGAATCAATCGATCACGAACATGCCATAAAACCAAAAGAAATCAACACGAAATGAGGAGAAATCGGCAAAATACCTCGGGAAAGGAAACGGTCCAGAGGTTGAGAGAAATGGGAAATCTGGAGAGAGATCGAATCAGAGACAAGGTTGGTGGCGGTGGTTGTTGGGGAAGAGAAACTGGGGAGGCGATGGAAGTCGTTTTGGACGGTATTTTGAGGGATTGAAGTGTTAAGGCTTAGGGCTAAGAAAGAGAGAAGCAGAGGTCAGAGCTTAGCGATGACAATGGCGGGTGAATACGATACGACGATGTATTTGATGGAAAATGCGTTCATTTTTCAACTTTCAACTTTCAACTTTCAACTTCCTTCCATGATGGGGACAATAATTTGCATATAAGATAATTCAATTATTTACTTCAATTTTTTTATCTTTTTTCTTTTTTAAATAATTTATTTCAGATTTGTTGTTTTTAAATACTATTTCGGTGATTATGAATTTCACATTTATTTCTTTTCTTTTCCTTTTTTTTTGAGAAATAAGTTATTTTCTTTTTAAAAGTCTATTTTAATATCTATATTTTCAACTTTTATTTATTTTAATCCGAATAGAAAATGTCTATTTTGATAATTTTACTTGTAAGAAAGGACCCTTTGATTTTTTTCATTTTCATTTTTATCTCATTTAATTTGATTCCTAATTTTAGTATAACTGCTAAACTTCTTGAAACCTAATTATAAATGTGTATTAAAGATTCATTATTATAAAATTTGTATTAAAATTTTTTAAAGTAAGAATCAAAATGGTCATTTTTAAAAGTATAGAGACCAAAACAAATATTTTGAAAATACATACACCAAAATGAAATTGTAAGTATAAAGTCCAAATGAACATTCTGCAAGTAAAGAGACCAAACTAAACGAAAGTTGAAAATACACCCGACAAAATATTATTTAAACCAAATGATATAAAAGTTGAGATTTTAAACTTTTGTATCTAATTTGCCCCTAAATTTTCAAAATTAATAATGTATATAAAATTTTGTCCATCTCTAGGAAAATTTATGGTTATGCCTTTAATTTCTTCATCAGTTATGTAATAAATAGATTATGTAATTCTTCAATATGTGTATTAAAACAATGACATGGGCGTGTATTAGAACAACATAGGTGAATAAATGTAGGTCTTTGAATGAGATGAAAATTGAGTGAAGTTGTTCACTTAATAAAAGTTTATTTTATTTTATTTTATTTTTTTGATGGACTTAATAAAATATTAAGTTTAAGTACCAAATAAAAACGGAAACAATTTTAAGACCAACAAACCAATATGAGTAAGGTTCAATGGTTAAGACATTTTATTCACTTTTTAGAGGTCGGAGATTCAATCTGCCTTAATGTCATTAGTTCAACTCATGGTGGTTGACCAAAAAATAACTTATCGATGATGTTCTTTTTTTTTTGCTATTAAAATTTTGTGATAAATGGAATTATCAACGTAACATTATATACATTCTCAACGCTCCCATATTACGTGTAAACTCAAATACTAGATAGATTATCCATATGAAATAAAAATGAAACAACGCTATTTGAAATAAAAACTTAATGCTCTAATAAAGTCGTTGACCTTCTTATTTATGACCAAGTCTCCTTGAAATAAAAGTTGTACACAATTTTGTGGAATTTTGACTTGATAATTATTTGCAAAGTACTTAATGCTTAAATACTTTCTAATATAAAAATAGACGATATAGTAAGAAGTTTAAACTTTTATAAAAATAGCTTAATATAAACTACATTAAAAAAAGTTAAATTTGCAGAAAATTACCTAAAAATTTAACATATTTTAAAATACACATTAAATTTATTCTATGGACTAATTTCTCAAATTAATAAAACTAATGTGTTTGATTTTAAAATAGTGGTGCCTATGTCAAAATAAGTTCAATTAATTGCATATATATAATAACAACATTTTGGATTTCCAAATATAGCAAGGAGAAGAAAAAAAACTCCAAATTTGTTAAAAAAAAGTCTTAAAAAACGTCTATTAGTTTTAAACATTTTCGTTAACAGACAGTTTTAAACATCTTCATTAATAGATGTCTATTAGTAATATAATCTATCACTGATAGAATGATAGACTAATAAACGAGGTATATGTCAATTACCACTGACCTATGCTCGCTTTGACGACTAATAAACATAAATTAATGATATATAAAGACGAAATAAAATTATATAAAAATATCCAAATTGGCGAGTGAAATAAAAAAAAATCATATTTATGCTATTTACTGATACAACTATGTGAGTTGACAGCATCCAAAATTTCCATAAAAATATATGAGGTAAAAAAAAAAGTAAACTCTTTTATTTATTTTTTTTTTCATTATTATTATTATTATATTATTTTAAATTGGGCATATTTTAATTAAATATCGTCTAGGAAAATACGGCAGACACGCAAACGCAAATTTGTCACCAATATTCTTTATTAGTAAACGATATCTCATTTTCAACAAATAATTGACCCAATTAGGTACTTGAAGTAAAGAACCCTAATATTTCATACAAATTAGTGCTAACATAATTAAATATTTGTTTATCTATAAATTTTATTACTGGTGTCTAACTATTTTATGCCTTTTATATTTTTAAAAGCTTTATTTTAGTACATATGCTTTTAGTTAAATCTGATCAATTGTACTAGCACAAATGAATTAAAGTAACGAAAAAATACAATGGAGAGTAAATTATAAACCTAAGTGGACAACTTGAGCATACATATAGCTCAAAAACCTCGACCTTATATTCGAATTGTAATACTAAAACAACTTCTCAATAGCATAACATAGTTCAACTAGTTAGGATATCTATCTCCGATCAAAAAGTTCCGAGTTCAAATCCCTACCTTCACATGTTACTAATAAAAAACAACTTATTGACTTGAACGATAACGTATATGGATGAAATAAATCATTTAAGTCAACAATTAATAAATAATTTATTTGGGAAAGAAATGTTTTTTTTTCTTTAATTTAACAGACATGGAAGTGGAGATCGAACCTTCAATCGTAGGTAAGATAATATGTCGTATCTATTAAATTATATCTATTTTTTTAGTACAACATATGGAGATGAGGAATCGAAATCACAACCTCTCGATTGAATGTTAGTTATCGCTGAATTATGCTCACTTTAACATATTCAGATTTTTTTAGTTCAACAATTACGAAATGAAGAATGAAACCATCGATTTTAAGATGGTCATAGACTACATGTCTTATCCACTAAACTATATGTTCGGATATTTGACATTAGGATTAGGCGGAGAAAGAAAAGTTGCAAAAGAAGGATTAGTTGAAGGATTGAATTGAGAATATATAAGGAAGTTTGCTAAACTAAAAGTTTGGTGGGAGATTGATGGGTGATGAAGTTGAGAGAGTCTTGAGACAGAAAGAGAACAAAACGACAAGTTTTGTGGGCGTTTTGAGCTTGAGTGTACAATACGAAATAAATTGTCAAAGAGTCAAGTCAAAAAAGTTGGAGAAAATAAGGTTTGGGTTGGCTTTCTTTTAACTTGTCATGTCTCCTTTAACAGTTTCGATGGGTTTCTTTTTTCTTCTTTTTTTTTTTTTGGGGGAAGAAATTGTTTGAAAAAGTAGTGTAATTTTAGAACAGGATATGAAGGTAATGGGGAGTTGACCCTGAATAAGAGTAAATATTGAGAGTTGATTGATAAATTCTTATTGGGAGGAGATTTGGCAGTCATTTAGGTGAATTATTTGAGTGAGTCAATTGTCAGGGGTGTGAATATAATTTTAGGGAAAAAATATATTTTTGGTCCGTACGTTGGTACATGTGTCAATTTGGTGCATGAAGTTTCAAATGAATACTCTCAGTCTCTAAAATTTAAAAATTTGTTCTAAATGGTCTATAAACAGTTTGTTGATTTAATGAAAAAAATGATAATTAATAGGTGACTGGATTTTTTTAATTTGTTTTTTTAATGAGGTGTAAACAAATATTAATTTTAAACAATTTTGTTATTTTTTCTCTCTCTTTTTTTAACTCTTCATCATCTTGCTATCATCCATGACTATCGTCGTCGAGCACCGTCGCTCGTCGTTGCCGTCCATTGGAGAGGGAGCTCTCCCTCTAGCTCTTTCCCTTATTTCAGATCTGAAATGAAGGGGAGAGTCACTGTTCCAGATCTGGAACGGGGGAGAGAGGGAGAGTTCTTCCCTCTCTTCAGTGACATTGCTTGTCGTCGTTGGAGGGAAGTCCTCTCTCTCCGTGGGCAGCAACAGCGGCGACGATAGATGGCAGTACGGTAGTGGTTGGCGACGACGACGGTGGACAGTAATGATGGTAGCAAGAAGATGAAGAGACCAAGACAAGAAGAAAATAAATCAATAAAAATGTCATCTCACATGACAAAATTATGTAGTAATTAATATTTTTTCAAAAAATCATTTAAAAAAATCAATTTAGAAATGTCCAGCACCGGTAAATTATCACATCATGATTAGAGAATACTTAGAGACCATTTAGAATAAATTTTTAAACTTTAGAGACCAAAAATGTTTATTTTGAAATTTAAGGACCAAATTGACACATACCCCTAACTAAGAGTGTTCATTTTGAAATTTCAATGACCTGACACCTGGTCCAAATCTCGGGGACCAAAGTATATTTTTCCATAATTTTAATTATAAGTAATTGAAATGAGGATGATAATATAAATAAGATATTTTGACTGTGTAATTAAAGACACGTACATCTCGTTCATGAATTTTATGACTTAGAATATTAGTCAATATGATATCTAAGATTTATTATATTGAATATATATGTATATAGCTACGAATTTTTGTAGTCAAGTAAGAAAGTTATAACCAAAATAGAAAAAAGTATGAAAGTTAGAGATTAAAATTTTTTAACTAAGAAAATCTCATGGTTGGAAAAATGACAAGTCCCTCTCCTAGGCACACAACTATATATAAAATTGATATAATTGACTCAATTTTATACGAAAACAAGTCAATCCCAATTTTCTTTTTTTTTTATTACAACAAAAGATAATTTACTAGTTAATTGTCATTAATAGATTATAGTGTACTTTATTAAATGAATATTTTTTTAATATAACATGGGGAGGTAGAGATTCGAACTCTCAACCTCAGAGTTTGATACATCTGTCTTAATCTGTTATGGTGAGGTATAATAACTCACCATAAAGTTTAAATCTATATTTATTTGCCAAAGCGAGCATAATTCGACATATATACCTCCAATCAAGAGGTCGTGGGTGGTTTCTTTGTTATCAAAGATTATATTTAATTTGACACGTTTCCCTATTCTGCCTGGGATATTTTAAGAAGTAAATATTTTTCTTACCCATAGAATCCAAGATTCCCCCATTTCACTTACGTACATGGGATATTTTAAGAAGTGAACATTTTTTTTACCCACGGAATCCAATAACCATTATTATTTCACTCGTCAGTTCACTAGACCGTCCCTGTGGAGAATGAACTCTAGAATTCTCCCTATCAAAAAAATCATTTCCCGATCTCCTCTTCCTCGTCCCTCGGGGGAAGGTAATCCAAATTCCCGTCCACCCCGCAAAATTCAAAAGCGACATCAAGAAAGTAAAGCATAAAAACAAGTAGAAATGACGATGAAAACATAGGAACTGGTCCAAAGATCCACAAAAACAAAGGAAATGAGAAGTAGAAGGCTCGCAATCCCAATGACCAGAAATAGCTGCCTCTGTTCACAGTGGTGGCGACGTACTCAGCGCTTAGGCGCTGGTGGTGATGATCAGAAGAAATCTTTCTGAAGGGTGTATTTATGAGAATGCTTGCATGGCTGTAGTACCTGATGGACTGAACATTGAACAAAAACGCCACCAAAAAACAGACCAAAATGGCAAAGAACTTAATGGAGAAATCAAACTGGCTTTTGTTGGCAAATACGACCATTGGGGATTGATCATTGCGGCCGCCGCCGCTCGTCATTAGGACGGCGATGAGAGAGCAGAGCATTATAGCCGTTGATGCCAAAAGAGTCGACGCCATTATGTTGTTCCTCAGTGTTTGGACCGCGAGCACGCCATTCTTCGACGCGTCCTGGTCATCAAGTTTCAGTACTACCGTTAACTTTTCATAGAAGTTTTTCGAAAATACCCTTCAAAGTAACATAAGTTAACATTTTGGTAGAATTTGAAATGACGTAGTCATTAACGTGGATAGAGAGATGGAAATTCTCTTGGGAATAAAAGAAAAAAAACTTTCAGGACAAAAATAAGACGAAATCAATTTTCCGTTCAAAATAGGGAGTATTTTTAATATTCAAAGAAAAAAGGGTAGAAAATACAATTTTGGTCACTGTATTCTTTATCTTTAGTTCATTTCGATGTCAGAAAATACTTGCTCCTCATTAAGGAGTCTTGTCCTTACCACGATTAAATATCCGAAAATTAAGAGAGAAAAATGCAAAAACAAAAAGTGTTTTTAAAAAATGATGAGTTGTCAATTATTTAATGGTGTTAAAGACAAGATTTCCCCTTTACTAGTGAGAAGCTAAGTATTTTTCTTTGGATGTCGGTACTCTCAAAATGTTCATTTTGGTCTATATACTTTTGAAATGTTCGTTTTGGTCCTATACTACTAAAAAGTGACCATTTTAACACAAACTCTATCCCTAATAAAAACCATGTAATATAAAGTCATAGTTATATTTCAATATATATTATAGTGTCATGTTAAAATTGTGATAAAAAAATGAGATTAAAAGTAAAATTAAAGATAAAAACAATTACTTTTTAAAAGTGAAGGATTTTAAAAATATAGATATTAAAATAAAATAAAATAAAATTGAAAGTGGTATAGAAATCAAAATAAATCAAATATTAACGGAAAAATAAAAAAGAGAATAACGGTCGGACATGGAACCTCCATCATAGCACGAACCCACAAGCGACGATTGATGGCGTTGATGCCAATTACAGTCTTGTTGGGATGTGTGATGATCCGATGGAGAAGCCACGTGTGATACCCCACCATCACCACGAAACCAGATGATACCAATATGTAGTCAACAATTTTTTTCTCCATTTCTTCAGGGAGATTGATGAGAACCAAATGCACTGCAAATTTTCAAAGTACATAAAGAAAAAATATATATATATTCAAACAAATAATTTCATCAGCAATTCACTCCGGAAAAAAAAAATTGCATCTAGGGATGAGTCATAGGTGACCGAAGTGAAAATAGATGACATAATGACACGTTTCATGTTCGATAAACTCTTGAATTCAACGATGGTATGGAAATCAAAACTTCATGAAATGTATATTTATCCATCCATCAACATTTTATTTAATACATTAAATTAAAAGTCAAAAAGTATAGTACAAAATAAAATTGAATAGATGTTAATTTTTATGTTTGAAATTTTTTCCTTTTGGGTGAGTACATCATGTGGGGGTGGGGATCGAACTCGCAACCTCAAATATATGCTTTTAAAAATTAAACATTATTATTATCTCAACAAAACAAAATATTTATTTTGTTTGTTCTTTTCTAAAGATAACAACACCTAGAGGCGAAACTCCACAAACTAACCTGAAAAAAAATTCAAATTCACATATATCTACGAAATCAAATCAAATAATGGATTAAAATTAGAAATAATGAAACCAATATTTAATTCTTTAAAATGCCACCAACGATTTACGATTGAAAGAAGAAATAATAACAATAGAAATTTCAAACCTTTCAGTGAATCTGAAATTCCATAGGATACGTTGGCCACACACCGCGTGAGAAGAATATGGGTTTCCTCTGCGAAAATGGAATTTAGAAAGTGGAGAAAAATGGGTGATTCTTAGAGCTCTATTCTATTTGTATGGCTTTAATTTTCTTTTGTGTTCCTTCTCTTCAAAGTTCCTCTTTTCAGAAAAAATGAGGAAGAAAGTGGGAGAGAAAAAAAATGTGAGAGAATGAGAGAGAGAGAAATTGAAAATGTGGGAGAGAACTAGAATTGTTGGGGGAGGGAGAAAGTTACGTAGAATGAGATAAAAAAGGGAAGTGGGAGAGATTTCATGGAAGAATAGGTCGTTTGGGAAAAATATATTTTTTTAATTTTTAATCTAGGATAAAAATTAAAAGTTTTGAAAAAATATTTTTTAAGAAATCACCACATTGGGTCCCTTAATTTTACTTTTGATTTCATTTTCTATAACGATTTCAATACAGATACTACACACTTAATAGAAATGTAACAATGACTTTATATTAAAAGGTTTTCATTAGGTATATAATTTATGTTAAAATCTTGCAAAGAGGGACTAAGATAGTCACTTTTTAAAAGGGATCAAAACGAACATTTTGAAAGTATATGGATCCAAATAAATATGAAAATATAAAAACCAAAATAAACCAAAGCTGAAAATACCGAACAACTCCGAACTTATCAAGTGTAATTTTTTCACTATATAAATAGACATTAACTTAGGGATATTTGTTGTTCTTTTTTTTAGTACAACAAATGAAAGTTGGTGAATCGAACTCAGGACCTTGTGATCATAGACAATAGTCCATTACCACTAAGTTAAATCCATGTTAGCAAGTCTTTGTTCAACGTAACAAAAAAATGTAAATCAGCCATCCAAAATTTTTATGATTTATTTGGGATGATCACGTAATAAAAGTTGTTTAAGTAAATTTACAATCCCAAATAAAACTTTTAATAGTTTGGGTATTAATTTTTTTCTAAATTTTTACCCATTTTTTAAAAAATTTCTTCTTTCCGAATTCTTCAAGTCTTCAAGGTGAGTCCTACATTTCTTCGATTTTACTTAAAACTTTAATTTTGAATTATAACATAGCTTAATAGAAAAGGTATAAATTATATTTTTGTAAAGTCAAAAAGTTCAATAATCCACTCCTACGTTTGTTGTACTAAAAACGAGTTCCATTTTTATGAGAAAAGTATACAATTATTTCTGAAATCACAAGTTGAATAATCCACCCTCCTTTGTCGTACTGAAAACAAGTTCCTATTTTTATTGGAAAAATACAAATTAAGCATGAAGCTAAATAAAAGTCAAATGAACTCACTGAATTTAGTAGAGACAGAACCTGTAGGCCAAATTCAAACAACATAGGTAATACACATACAAAAGGCAAAGTCAAATCACATCACTAAACCTTTTGGTTTTGCCCTCCAGAAAGTGCTTTTAAACAAAGCGATTGAGAAATTCATCCACAGTTGTATACTTAACATCTGGATACAGCTCGGTGGCTTCCACTCCAAATGATGGTTCAATATCAAAATTGGTATGATCTCCCTTCACAAAAACTGAGTGAGAAATTGATAATATCACATTCAAGGGAATTGGAGCCTCTGCAAAACCCAACAAAGGAAGTAATAAGTTGCCTTCATTCAAATGATGTGGTAATTATAGTGGAAGTTTGTCTCGATTAAGTCTAAAAAGAGAGAAAATATTGTGGAAGAAGCTATCGTTTTTAAAAAGTAAAATATTGGATAGACAATAGTGGGAAAGTAAACTCTCTTACAACGGAGGAAGAATACTTTTAGGATAAAATTACTACGTGAATTGTCACATCGTCTCAGATTCTACTCTATGTTATGTTTCTAACTCTACCCTATGTTATGTTGATCAAATAATATTTTTGTCACAAAGGACAGACTTCAGGTGTATTTTTTTTTTAATTGAACCAAAATTTGAAAGGCATCCATCAAATAGGGGAAAACTAACCTTGGATGTTCTTCAACACTTGTTCCTCAGGAACATAGATTTTCTCGAGGGTTTTGCCAATTTTTTTCTCCCAAAGGGCCACAAGATCATTGAAAGAGTAGATGTTTCCAGGAGGTTTGATGTAGAGGATTTTGTTCAAAGTTCTTGGATCATCCACAGCTCTGATTGTATAGGTTGCAATGTCATCTTCCTTGTCGAATATTGCTGAAGAAACAACAAACAATAAGCTGTTTGATATTTCAAAATACTCACTTTCTTCGATATAAAAGACATTCTAGAAAGAAATTTTCAATTATGGTTTATCCACATATATGGAACCTTCTGTGAGCATTCGGACAAGTTAATTACAACTCAACTAATTTAATGAGAGACAACTATTTAACCCTACATCATTATCAATCTTATGAGAATTGTGTATGGTATAGAGCCACAAGGATAAATTCTAGAACGTTTTAACTTCATTTTTAGAAAAACTTCAATGCATGGGTATACGCAAGATATAGACCAATCCAGTAGCCTTTTGCTCAATTTCTTTCTCGTAGGTCAGATTTTGATCAGCCTGCATTTAGCCGATTCATAGGGCAAATTTGAAACTCCTAAAATGAAAGTTGTTCCACATTCACCCTAAAGGAGAGTTTCCTAATTCTAGCACCTTATCAGTTCCTTTGTGCTCATGAAGCTGTATTATGAGATTTGCATAGAATTAACCCATATCACCAAGTCTACCAATTGACACAAGAACACTAATTACCTATCTTATTTTTAATATCTATCTACCTGCATTAGGATCCCAGTTCATGTATCTCTTAACTCGAGAAACCAAAATAATATTTTAACTACCTACTTGGTCACCGTGAAATTTGAACCTATCCCCCACACATTGGAATTACTGTATTATGGTAACCATGAAATTTGAACCTATCTCCCACACACTGGAATTACTATAATACAGGGGATCAAAATGAGAGGAATTTGGTTGGATTACCCTTGGGATTTCCATCCCCTAAGATAACAACTTTATCTGTAGGTGGAGTGGAGGCTCCAGGCTGAGCCAAATTGGGAAGAAAGTAACCAGCAAAGAAGTTGGAGGAGACATATGTGTAGGGAATTCCTGCAGCCTCCACAGCTCGCCGGATTTCAGCTTTCACGGCGAAGGCTGATTTTGCTGGCTCAACAGCGTGCACACGATCCACATCATTCCCAAACTCAGAAGGGAAAAATCTCTGTATCATATACACAGTTAAAAGGAGAATAACAGTTCTTTAGAATCATGCCATACACAAAAAGTAAATGTAGGTTCCAGCTGACGATAAACATTATTATTTTAAGTAGAAGTGATTTCCACAGTGACGAAAGTAATTTTGATCCTATCGAAATCACTTTCAAACTTGTACTGATGACAATGAAATACAATTGATTTTAGGATGTGTCTGAAGTGATTTTGGTAGTCATTGTCAAAACCACTCCCCTTTCCATTGACATGTTTTATAAGTTAAAAAATTGATTTTAAGAAATTTTAAAATCACTTTAAACTGATTTTGAAGGTATCATTTGAAGGGTGATTTTGAAAAATCAATTATAAAAAAGTTAAAGTACTTTTCATGATAAATTTGAAGAAATGATAATGAGAAAGTACATCATAGAGTTTGAACTCAAAACCTCTCTCGGTTAACCCTAGTCCTTTCGGACCAATAAGTCACCTGCAAGGGTTCCTTACACTTTAAAAATTACTCTTTTGGTCTTTTATAATTTTTTTTTATATTTTCTATTCATCACAAACATTATTGTTAATAAATTTCTTGAAATATTGTCATAATTTTGTATTAAATAGTTTTTGTAGCGTATAAAATTCATGTTAAGATTTTGAAAATAAAGACTAAAATGGTCGTAGATGTTTCGAAAATATAGGATTTGGTGACGTTCTCATTTCTAGTTTTTAATTTTTGAGAAAAACAAAATCAAATTTCTTGTTTGGTTTCTTGTTTATATTTACAATTTTTTCTATATTTTTTTTTATTAACATAGATAAAAGCATTGTTTTCATTTTTTATTTTAGAAAATGCACAATATATATCATAAAAAGAAATAAATATAACATGAATTTTTTTAATATTTAATTTGAATAATTAAATTTCATATAAAACTTTATTTTTAGCCAAAAGTTGTAGAGAACAAAAATAAGAAATGATTACTAAATATAATTCTATTTCTTTACTCCGAAAAAAAAGAAAGAACAGAAAATAAAAAATAGTTACAAAAAATAATTGATTCTGTTCAAAATAGAAGACAGAGAAACAATTAAAAAAAAAAAAACAGAGCTCATTGTAACCAAAATAGAAAAGTAAAGAAACGAAAATCGAGAGCAAATCGAAGTACCAAAATAGGATTGAAATCAACAATTAACCAACACAAAGAGAATTTTCTTGAAACTAGACGAACGATTATGATATTAGATCACCGAAAATATGAACAATCAAATCCAAATTCATCAGAGGAATGAAGGAAAAGAAAGGAGTACGACCTTAACATTGCCGGCTTGTTTGATTGCAGAGATAATTTTATCTTGATCGGCCAACAGAGCATGACCAACGCTGGAAATCACCACATCCACCTCCTTAATCGCCTTTACCAAACTCTCATGATCGTACAAATCGCCCTGCAAAAGTTACTCACAATTCCAGAGAAATCGTTTACAGATTTAACAAAATCAAGCAGTAATCAACACGATGATGTTCTAAAAAGCCTCTAGTCCCTCGGATTTTTCTCCAATTGGAAACGAAAATGAAGATCCGAGCCCTAGAGTTTCAGGATAAGTCGAAAGATATTTTCGCGATTTCAAAATTTCGTTTCCCTCCATTTCATCGCAATCAGAGGTTTAGTGGAAAAAAGGAAGAAACAGAGATGAAACTGACTTACAGAGACGAAATTGACTCCCAAGCTCTTGAAATTGTCGATAATCGGAGCCTTGGCCGGATCGGAGAGAGTGGAATCTCGGACTAGAACATGAGTTGGATGCCTGGCCTTGGCGCTCGCCTCCACCACGAACTTTCCGATGTATCCGGTGCCTCCGACGATGAGGATCTTGCTTTTGCCGGCCATTTGATCGGAATCTCCGGCGAAGAAACGCGTATATATCGCCGGGAAAATAGAAAACGGAGAAGAAAAGAAGCAGAGGAGATGATGGTGTTGTTCGTGACACTGACCAATCTGAGTAATACGCTATTGCATGGCTGCCATTTGTTTTTACAGGGAGGAGAAATCAGAAAAACTTGAATTTTTTTCAAGTAATTAGATATTTGACGATTCATTTATTTTTAAAATTTTATTTTTATTTTTTAATTTTTCTTTATTACTTATCAAATATTTAATGATGTTAAGGGAGAAACAACAAAACTTTTTTCAAGAAAAAAGATACAATAATTAGTAATTAGAAAGGAATATTCAAACTTATGTATGAATGAATATTCAAACTTATGAACTCGTCGTCAGAAATATGTGCCAATGACCATTTAGTTGAGTTCAAATTGGTCGTGAATTTTGTACTTTAGATTCTTAAAGCTTGAAAGTATTTAATAAACTTTCAAGTTTATACTTTAGATTCTTAAAGCCGGAAAGTATTTGATAGGTTTCGAAGTTATCGAACTATCAAGTTTGTATCGAGAAAATCTCTTACCTATTCAATGTTAAAATTAAAAATTTAGGATCCTATTAAAAGTATATTTTGAAAAATATTGATCAATGCATTAGAAATTTATTACATATCATTTTTTTTGTACAACTATTAGACAAGACATAAATTTGAAAGTGATACTTTTAAAGTTGAGGCACCTGTAAGGTACAAGATTGAAACGTGGTGGTTCATTATTTCTTAAAATTTTTCAATTATTCTATTTATGTTGGTGGATATTAAAACCGATTGATAATAAATTTATGTGACATGATATCTAAAAGTTTTTATCGACTTTCTAACATTATAACATGTTAGAGATCCATATATGAATTAATTAAATTTACCCCACTTATTAATTTAAACTTTTGGTTGAATAGTGGTTTATTCATCCTTAATATAACATGATATAGTTACTTTTTCATCATTTAATTTGAAACCGACAAAAATAGTATAATTGGCGATCGACAAAGGTATAAGGAGAATGACTAAAATATCCTTGCATATGTGTAGTTGTATCACATGCATATGTGAAGAAAGAGCATGTTCCCACAATTGCGTCCACATTCAGTGACGATGAAAGACAACGAGGAAAGGAACTAGTACTCCCCACCAATCGTTGATTATCAACTCACTAGCCACGAAAAAAAAATTAAACTTATAATTCACCAAATCAAAGCTACTAATGTCTTCGTTTCTTATTTTTATTTTTGGTTCGATAACTGCTTTTATTTCTTGTTTCTCAAGCATTATTTTACCATTCTTTGCTTATAAAATGCATAAAAATATTAAAAATAAATATTAGATAAAATTTTTATAAAGAGTTAATTAAAAAATGAATTTTCGTACAAAAAATTACGTTTTTAATTTGAAACGTAAAAATAGCGAGAAATAAGAAATGATTACTAAAGATAAAGTTTCTATTTTCAATAAAATAAAAGAATAAAAAAAATAAGAAACAATTATATATAAAAAACACAATTTAAAAAAGATCAAACAAAAAACAATAAACATTAGCAGATCAGCCATTATGTGTCTAAAAAACTTAAAATGAGAAATAGAAAAGTTTAAAGAAACAAGACATCAGAATAAGAATGAGAATAAAAATAGGACCCACCTTTTAACTTTTCTAATTTAAGAAACATTCTCTTTAAAAAGGATAATCTAATTATCATTTCTTATTTCATGAACCCACACTTTTTCGGTAATCACTTTACAACATTTACTCTATCTCTCGTCTATTAACGAAACATATAGCATTTTAATTATTTCTTTTTTATTTTTTACAGTTCTACTATTTCTTTTGTTTATTATACTATTAATAACTTTTCTTCAAATAAAAAATTATACAACTTTTTCTAGTTAATGTGATTTTTTTGGCCAAGGCATTTTATCATACAATATTACAAATTTCTATTTAATTTATCAGTTAATAATTTTACTTTATTATTATAAATTAACATGAGTAAAATTGTTAAAGTAGATATTTTAGTTCCTAAACTTTTAAGCCTATTTCATTTTGATCATTGAATTTTTAAAGTGTCTATTTTACCACCTAAATTTAAAAAGAATAAATTATTTTGGGATATAATTCTATTATTATTTAATTAGGTGTAAATCTTTTAACAAGTAGATAACGTGATTTTGGAATATAAACCTGTATTAGAGCTATATAGGTTGACTAATACAGATAGGGGTGAACGAAATACTTATCAAAGTACCAAGTTAAAATTATTAATTTCAAAAAATTAAAATATTCTCTGAAAATTTAAAGACCAAAATAGAATTTAAAACCTAAAATGGGTTATATTTTTAAACAAGAACTACATTTTAACCTAAAAGAAAACATTTCTTGGACAAACATTCGACCATATTGAATGCAAGCATTTAAACTCACATGAGATGTATAATCAGAAGAGGAGTTTTGGTATCATGCCTTTTTGTTCGTGCACTACAAAAATATATTGTTTTTCCACGAAATTTTTCCAACGTTAAAAATGTTGTCGGGAGAAAATGACTTATCCCGGGAAAAATAAAGTCGTAGTGTCAATTATAAGATTTGCCGACATTTTTACAATAACGTTGGAAAAAAATTTATATTAATTGTCGACGTTTTTTCACAGAATATCGGCAAATATCCCTCCAAGCTATTAGGTTTACTCTTTTTGTGTGTTGTGTAACCTGCCAGACAAATGTAAGAATTTTCATGCTCAAGTCAATGTAGATCGGAGAATTAATGAGTATAATGTATTGTGGAAGAGATTCGAGCATACTTTGATAAGCGATTACCAATTCTTTTTATAGTTGAATGAGGATGAATCAGTTAATTATGTAGGTCGAGATTCCCTCCGCAGATCTCGGTGGTTAGACTGGTGACTGGCGCGAACTACACCCAGTCCAATATGTCATTCCCGTGAGCATATAATGGTAACGACAGGGCAAGGTGGACTTGTTTCGCCCCTCACAACTTCATTGACATCACCAAGTTGGCGTACTTCATTCGGCTGCTCGACAAGTGAACGTCCTTTTTTCCCCCTCATAACACATTTGTTTATTATTATTTCTACTTACTATTTTCTATTACTTTCATTAATGAGTCGTGGTCGTTGAAATATTGTGTCTATTTAACAACCTTTAAATTATGATCTAAGCTCATGCTGTTATAATACCGTTTTAAACAAACTGTTTTGTTTTATTTAATAGATAACCTCATAAACAAATTGCATATATACACCGACCATTAGATAAAATAGAGCCAATCATATAGAATTTTTTCTAGTACAACAAAAGTGGGAATGTGTGGGAATGTGTGAATTAAACTTCTGACCTCTAAAGAAGGAACAAAATATCTTAACTACTAAACTATGCTTATGTTGACAATCCTGCAGACAATTAGGTATGGTTAAAAATAAGATACATTACTTAAAAGACATATAATATGTTGCATTTGTTTCTTTATCATGTCTTATTATCCCATATTAACTTATATAAATGAGAAGTTATTAAAACCTTAATAAATTGTAAGAATAATGTAATTTAAAAAACAAATTAAAAAATAATGTAGATTTAGAAGTAATAACAAAATAAATGTAGTATAAATAAAAAATTACAAAATTAAGTTATATATTCAAACTATTGACAAAAATAGGTTAGGTGATAGTCAAAGTCAAAAATCGCATACAATGAATGTGATTTAGGTGCCAACATGACATAAATGAGGTGAACCTCGAAGAATGAGTCAGCAAAGAAAGTCGCGTACGTTATAAATAGAAATTGCGTACACGACTTTCCATTTATAGAAGTCGCGTACGTTGTACACCATTTCTATTTATGGAAAGTCGCGTACAATGTACGCGATTTTCATTTAAAATATTTATATATTTATTTATGTAGAAAGACAACGGTTAAATCGAACTTGTGATGGGAGGGTTAAAAATGAACATTATGACCACTACTGAACAATTCTTATCATTTAACTAATTGACGAAATATTATATATATAGTATATATAACTCGCAACAAATGCATGCGATTAGCATCCATATGTCACATCGAAGTCGTAGTCACGACTTTCACAGAATCGCAGTCATTGGCTGCGATTTTGGCGTGCAAACTACTATTTTCCCTAAAATCGCAGTCATTAAATACGATTTACCTGAAATCGCATCCAATAACTGCGATTTCACTACCCTACTTTTAAAAATACTTTCAAACCTACATTATTTCTGTCATTTGTTTTTTAAAAGACATTATTTAAAAAAAAAATCCTAATAAATTGATTGAGCTACGTTTGTATGGTCAAATCCTAATTATATATGTATAACGCATTAAATATTAATTTACTTCCAAATATTATTATACCATTTATTTCACAGTCCTTCCCCTTGAAAAGAAGAGAGCAAATATGATAAGGCGGGTGCAAGAATGTAGAATAACGAAAACATCCTTGCATTGTGTGGTTGGTGACTTTACCCTAAGGTCTTAAATTCTCATCCCAATGAGTCTGATATCGAAATAAGAAGTTATCAATATTTTCATAGTATCACCAAACTGAGCATAGTTCAAGTGGTTGATGCACCTATCTAATGGAATATCTATCTATTTCGAATTTTTTTTCGTTATTGTCATAAAATTGAGGCCTTGACATTTTTTCCATTAACATCAATATTTAATTTGAAACCTTGTTTCACATATATGATCGTGGTATTTTATGGAAATATCAATGAAATGCGAGTGATGTATGTGTGGATATTAATTGAAAATTAAATAGATTGTGTCAGGATTATATATTCCTAACTTATTTGAAAATTCATTAAAATCCGACTGTCAAATTTTTAATTTGGGTTTAAACCCTATTTTAGTATCTGAATTTTCAGAACATTGTCTCAAAATTTTAAGAAATATTTTGTAATAAATCTTAAATTCGAAAAACCACAAAATGAGATTAAATCTAGCAAAATCCTAAAACATAACAACACACAAAAGGAAGGGCCAAATCTTGGCTCTTATAGTTTTTTCAAAAAAAAAAAAAAAAATCTTGGCTCTTATAGAATTGGATTAGATAGATGGCAGCAGATACAAA